CGATCATTCGATTTTAGAGTTTCAGTGGATTTGGTAAGTCTATGTTCTTCGCTTTCTATTTTTAACTATCCCAACCTCGTAAAATAAAATACCAAATAGTTTGATACTCGCCAAATCGTAACCACACCTCAGTTAAAGCCTAAAAGACGATGTAGTGCAAGAATTCTGGTCTTCTAGCGACAGACTCGCCGTTTCTGCTCCTAACAGTACCTAACCTTCTACAGATGAGGTTGATAGTTCGATTATAGCTAGTAGTAATTAATTTAATTAATTATCTTTGTAACCTTTGAGTAGAGCTATGACCTGGGTCAAAAAATAGCGACCTGGATTTGATCTGGGTCAACCATTTTTGACCCAAGTTGATTCTTGTCAATAGTTACATAGATTAAGCTTGATGAAAAATCTCAGGTTTTGCGTTAAAAAAAACTTTTAACCTTGCTTGTAATTAGAGTTCTTTCATTTTTTACATCGAAAAAACCCGGTTATTGCAATCTATCTGTCCATTTAACTGACTCATTTGACCCAGGTCAACCCAATTTTTAACCTATAACTCATCAAAATTCTGACCTGTACGGGTCAAGCCAACCCGGGTAATAGCTCTATCTTTGAGAGCTTTCGAATATTAAACCCTGTGGTGGTAAGATATATAATGTACATATTTGGCTGATAAAAAATTCTTGGAAGGAGCCCCGAGCTATGAAGAAGATTAGACACTGCATGTAATATAGATCACAAAAAGTAATACTACAGAAGGCTGTATATATGAATTTGTGATTGGCAAAATAGTACTAACAACTCCAAAACAGCATTATGATCTTGATTAAGAGAATAGTTAAATGTGATATATTTAGAAGTAGTAAGAAAAATAGTGAATATAGTAAGAGCTGTGGTAAGAAAATGGCTTTATCAAATATAGAACACCTTTGGCACAAAGAAACAAGAAAAATCAGCTAAAAGAAATTCTAAAAAGCATGAAAGCAAATGCTCCAGTAGTATGAAAATAAAAATAGGCAGTAAGCAGTGTTGTATATGGGACAATTTTGGACAATTTTGGACATTTTTTTAAATTAAAATTACTAAAAATTTTATTAAGATAATCTATCTTAATTTTTTTACCAATGAATCTAGCACCTAAAAGAATATATAATTATATATTTTTTTAAATTATTTTATTGATTAGTTAAATATGAGACATAGGCTTGGACGATTTTGGACAATCTTGAATATTGGACATTTTACATAGTGTGGACACGTCCTATATACAACACTGCAGTAAGTAATGTGTTCCACAATCTATATAAAAGTTGATAACAAAATATAGCAGAAGCGCAAGTTTTGAGTTACTGGTTTGTGATAGTAATTAAATGAGGTACTTAACTCTTATTCTAAGAATCAAGACTTCTGTAACACCATACTGATAGAGAGTACATAAAAGAAGCAGTAGCCTAACTTGATAATATATAATGCAAATACCTGAATCAATGTGAATAATATCCTAGTATTGCAGCAGGTGATTTGAAATACAAGTCTTATGATTTGGTAGCACTTATTTGAGATACAGATTGGGTTCTTAAAGTAGCTCCTCTCAAGATACCAAACTAGAAGCATCAAAAATGCTTATTTAGTAAAACACCAATTTGGATATTATACAAGAAACAAATTAGAAATAATATAATAAGTGATGAGAAGTAGAAGTTAGTTGGTAGATATTGTACAGTAGTATATAAGCAGGATATATATAATATAATAGATTTGGAAACTATCCGGTGATTTAGAAACTAGTCTAATTGTAAGATGATTAATAAGGAGATAAAATCTCATATAGCAAATCACATATAGATATTTAAATTAGTAACCAGGTAAGCTAATACTTGTAATTTGTATTAGATAGTTGTAACTATACTTGTAATATTTGTCAGTATTGTTCTGGACATCTGTCCATGAACATGAACACACGTCCATGGACATGTGGACATAGGCAGTCTATGTCCATGGACAGACGGTCCATGAACATGAATGTTGGACACTCTATTGTCTCTCTATGTCCATGGACTGTCCATGTCCATATCCATGGACGGTCCATATTCATGTCCATGTCTGGAACAACACTGATATTTGTAACCAAAAAATACTCTAGCATAAATCTAATAAACAGTATTGGCAAGCTAAATTAAAAAAAAAATATTAAATTATTGTCTTTTTTACTTTATAGTAGCTACTACTAAAAAAATATAGTATTGTTAAAATCTGAAGCATATTATATTATAATCATCTTTATACAAATACATAAATATATATATTTTGTGAACATATGTGAACAGACAAAAAATTTTCAAATTATGTTTCTGATACAGTATAATCTTCATAACTAAGCTAATGCACAGCATTGTATATTCAGAGACAATAATTATCAAATATAGTTATATATTAAAAACATAACTTTTGTTATATATACAAACAAACATCTATATGCATCAAAATACAATTTTTAATGCAGTTTACTTATCTATTAAGAATCTTCTGCTATACTCTGGATTAATTAAATCTAAAAAAGGTTTAATTTATAAAATAAATTTAGTATTTGGATCTTATAACTGAAATAGAGTTGCTTTATTAAGTGTAATTTGATATTGTATAAAGTAATATAATTACCAAGCTTGTCTAGTAGATTCTCAAGATCTAGCATGCTTTACTTATAAGATAAGTTAGCAATATTGTTATTTTTTGCTTATATATATTTTTTACTTAATTTACTTGCCTGTAATTTATTTTTGAAGTAATGTATTTACTTATTTAATATCGCGGATTATCATGAAATCAGATCATCGTGAAATTTGGGGGTCTTGGTTTGAAAATATAAGCCCTACCAAACTCTTTTATTAATAATGCTAACCTAAACCCTAACTTAACTATAAAAAAAACTTACAAAAAAGGCCCCAAAAAATTTTAAAAATCGTACATGATAATCCCGTGACATTTTTTTGTGTTTAAAAATGTAAAATGACTACTAACAATAACACCACCCCCAAAAACAAATTATAATCAAAACAACAATACAAGCCAAGAAAATTTTTATCTTGTAAGTAAACTTCATATTGTGCAAGTATATTCATACTAAAATATATAATTGATTCGTTTATATTCATGATGAATGATTACAATAATAGATGGACTCGTCAACCCGTGACTCGAATGTTCGAGTTCGAATCATAAATTTTTTAACTCGCGAGTACTCACAAGTTAATTATTAATGTATAATGATGTTTAAAATGACCAATATTTTGCATTAAATAGATTTGTAAGTTACATAAATAATGTCGTAATTTAACATAATTATATATAATCCTTTAATACTTAATAAAAAATAAAGTTTAAAAGACTTAAAACCAATTTCATAATATAAACATAGAGCAAAACAAAAGCACTAATGAACGGGAGGAATCTTGTAATAAAGAGCATGTCAAAACACAACTACCCATATGTCTAAAAGTAGACCTATTCCAAGTTTCGTCCGGGAATATTTTCGAAAGGAGGGTATAACTTCCATTTGTGAAATTATAATGGATGACGGGAAGAAAATGGTATAATGGACTTCAATTTTAAATTAACCATCTCGCCCGTAAGCACAGAATATTTAAGATAGTCCTAGTAGATCTAGAGATATGAATCAGTTTATTGCATTCGTAACTTGTAATTGATATATTTGTTTTATAACACATAAATTGAATTATACTTGTTTTTTAACATACAAAATTGAATTATATTTGCTTCGTGTAACTCGCTATTTGAAGTAATTTGTTTTTGTAACTTGCAATTTATAAAATTTATCAATAAACTAATTGCCATGACTCGAATTACTTGAATAAAAGTCGAAGTCGAATGATTCGAGCACTCTTGGCTTAATTCTCGAGTCACGAGTTTATACGAGTCCAGTCGCTAATTCGTAAACATCAAAAGCCACAAATATTTACTGAATAGCCATAATGGATATTCAACCTCCACTTTGAGGCACATGTTTTTTTATTTGTATATTGCCATTCCGGCAAAAAAAAATTTATTAAATAAAGAAGGGGGTTGGTAACTTTGCCATTTTTTATTTTTATGTGATCGTGTAAATAAGTATTGGATATTATTTATATCGTTATTTCGATTCCACCACAGTACCTTCAGATACATAATGATTCAACATGTAACTCAATAAGAAAAACTTACCCTGTGTGAACCCTTAAGAGGACTAAAATTCTTTTTATCAACTCAACACAAAACAATTCGAATTTTCTTCCCTTCTTTACCAGCAAACTTTATTAAACCATTTTAGCCAAAGGCCCTTTTTTTCATATTTATTCAAAAAAAGATAAATATTACGGATAGAGAAAAATGAAATATAACAACGTTTTTTTTTGGATTAAGACATATAGTATGATAGGGAATACTGTAGATCTAATCCGAGTTATTTTTGATTTACCAATGTTCTTGAATGGCCTATAAACTTTTTCGACCGCTTTCGCAAAGCATAATCGGTAACTTTACTGCACATTTATCAATTATTCATGGCAATCGGCAAAAAATAATGACTGTTAAAATCACAAAGCGAAATCTTTATTATATTTCATAACTGCCATATATGACAATATCAAGCTTATGATATGTCTTACCTTTGCTTCACATTCAAATAGTTAAACCAAAACATATTAACCTTCATATGTTATTCCAACACCTTCCCATGTTGCAATATTGTTTGGTACCAATAACCAACTTCTCACTGTTGAACACGTTAGTTTTTTCAACTCTTTTTGTGTATTTTTTAATTCGCTCTATGAATAAAAATATAAATTAGACTAAAAAAATCTCTTAAGATCTAATAAAGCGTATAAAGAATACTCACAATTAATGCGTATAATAATTCAAAAACTTCTATTTTTCTACTTCATCAAATGAAAATGGAAGTTTGGCCGACTTAATTTGCAAGACTTTGTAAAAGTGTTTTTGATCAAGCTGAAGTTTGCTAAGTGTAATCCTGTCACCTAATATAAATAATTGAAGATAAATAATGCTCAAAATAACCGGTACAATAAGTAAATACTGTACAATACCGATGCCTTGCACCATTGGGGTGCGCGATATACTATATAAATCAAAACTACATGTGGTATTATACAAAAACTTAATATCTAAAATTTTATATATCAAATAATTTTATATAGTTTTTCGCGAAATTTAAATAGATGCACAGCTCTAACGGTTTATTATTTTGGGATAAAATTTCGCAGAGACCAATAT